AATCTGTGCACATAGGAGGTTTACATAAATCCAAGTGACTTAATGTTGCACAAGGAACACGGCCTTACAGCTAGCATCAGTCTGATTACAAAATCATCCTGGCAGTTCTACTGTTTAGCTATGAGCATGGTTGATTGAGCAACTTAATGATAAGCATGAGTATATTGTGATGTCATGCCAATTTTGGATCCTATTTGAAGTATGAAAACTGAAGCAGAATTTGTGGCTATGCCTTGATTCCGTGGTTTGGAATATTTGGCTTTAAGTTAATGAGGACCTGTTAGTTTGGGCTCTATGAAACTGGTCTACTTGAACTGTAGGCATTTGTTTGACCCGCCTTTAATGTCTGCCAAAGCACCAGCATTTATTAGCAGTGACCTTTAGCTTATCAACCATCTTTTCTTTAGCCTGAAGTAGTTAATTGATAAATAAGCGAGCTGGATGGATTGTCACACCTTGGCAGTCAAGAATAATGAATGAGATTGGTGTATGTGTGCGTTGGCCTCAGTGTGTTGGCCTCTCTGCAACTGTTATACAGGTACAAGGTTTGAGATCTCTTTAAAGCTGTCCTGGCAAGACAGCACTGGTGTGAAAAACAGCACCGGATCACCAGGTAGGTGTTAAATCTCTTTAATAGGTTAAAGCTGTCCTGATCATTCCACTATAGTGCAGTATAGAAAACAATCAGCTTCACTTCAATGTTTTCTGTGATTCTAATAAAGCAGTAAGATCTTGCACAGCTTAAGGGATTGAAAAGCAAGCTTCCAATTGCTCTAATACACAAGAAGTTATCGTGAGAAAGTAAACAATTTTTGGAAGGTAGGGGATATACAGGAGCATCTTTATGTGGAACCTGGTGATTTTAACACCCTAGAATTGACAGTGCTCAGGTGTTTCCTTTGATGGGATCCAAAATGCTTGAAACTGTCAACTCAGTAACAATTTAGAAATAGAAGAAATATCAACAGACTCAAAGTCTCAGGACTCTTAGTAATATGGGGATGTCAGTAAACTTTGACTCAGGAAGAAGGGAATACTATGCTAACTAAGAACTGTCTCAGAAATCGGTAAATTGTGAGTGGACTTGGGTTCAGAAACTGTTCTTGTGTTGATTGAAAATGAGGCAAAGAGATGTAGGGATGTAGCTGTCTGAGGATGGGACCTAGGTTTGGGCATCATCCATCTTTTCGAAACAGATGAGGTGTTAGTCGACCCAGAAAAATAACAGTAGTCGGCCAAGGAACAGGTGATGTTTCAGCTGAGGCATGAATAGATCAAATGTTGACCCAAGAGCAGAAGAAGAGCAGGAGAGGTGTTGACAGGTCTTGCACACTCAGAAAAAAAGAAGGGTGCCAGATGACTCAAGAGCTAAATTGGTTTTAAGTGACCCAGGAGGCTAAGAGATATCACCAAGGCTGCTGGGCATACGTGAAGAACACCAGCATGTCCCCTTCCCAAAAAAGGTGAAATCAGTTAGGCAATTAGCTAACTGTGTGAAAGTTGACATTTTTACTGGCTAGCAAACAGCAGTCTAGGCTGAGCAAGCAAGCTAAAAGTCGACTGGCTGGCCTCTAGTCTGGGTAGCTATTGGCTTGGGCCTAACATACTCTGGGGTCCAGCAGAAATCTAGATTGTGACCCTTGATATTATATTATATTAGATTAGATGAAACTTTATTAATCCCTCGGGTGGGTTCCTCCGGGAAATTCAGTTTCCAGTAGCAAAGCACCGAAAGAAGTTGCATGTTACAGATACATTAAGGGGGATGAGAGTAAGGATATAAGCATAAATACACTATATATACACATATATAGATACAGAATATACAATATGGATAAATAGGATTGCTCATTTGAGTGAGTATATTGCACAGTGATTATTGCACAGTCAAATATAAGAAAAAAAACCTTCATGACATGAAAAAAACATTAAAAAAGATGGAAAACATGGACGAGGACACTAAGAGGGAGGCAAAAGTGGTACAAACACACTCTCCAAAATGCCCAAAATGCTAACTTTAACAAATTTAACTACATCTAAATTATAAGTCTAATTTTAAGTGTTAAATGTAATGAAATCTGTTGATTTGAACTTTACTTGATTGCTATACTTTCAGTTTATAGCAAGTACATTTCCTTAATGATTAATATTTCAAATAAAAAAAAACTTTGATATAATATATTTCAATTACATTTCACTCAAAATTACTGCTTCATGTTTATTGAGAGGGAAGAATTTTTTTCTTTAGGGCTTGTGTTTCTAAAGGCACCACAGTGACTAGCTTTATAACAGTTTATGTTCATACACCATTTTAAGTCTCTCTCGGTTTGTTTATTTTATTTTATTTTTTTAACCTTTGGTTGTGTGATGTCACATACGTCCACATAAGCCCCTTATAGCTAATCTGGTGACAATTTAGGCAAGCACTTTATATAGACAGTCAGTATTGTCTCTCAAAGGGATTGCTGACTTGTCCCATTGTATTACAGCACCATGGTATTAACTACCTCTTAGCAACACAGTCTTCATCATGGTGCTAAATTTAGACAGACTTGCAGTGTTTGTTGCTAACAGTAACTCCATTAGTTCAGATGCTGAGCCAATTACATCAATTTCCAACAGTGCGAGGTGCTGTCGGTGTAACCTTGAGCAAAAATTTATTGGTGCGCATCATTACAATTAACATCACCGATTTTAATTATTTACACATACTGTGAACTCTTCATGTCAGGTAGGCTGACCTTTTGGCCTTATGCCACTTGTACTCCGTGCCTCCTGTGTGACCTTTAACCATGGTATTTTTAGCAGCTGCTGCTCATTAACTTAACTGAAAAGATGCTGTAACTTGGAGTGGTTGTGGCATCAGTTAGAAAGATCGCTGCTAAGATGCCTAATCATCCAAAAGGAGAGCAATTATTTGTCAACGATTTGTGATTTATAATGTGCCTTATTGGGGATTGTGTTTATTCTTAAAGTCAATCAGTCTAACAGCTATACTTTACACTGGTAGCAGTTTACATTTTTGTAAGGGCAGTTTAATTCATCCTATAGTGGAGATGATTTAGGAATACTGAGTATGTTTTTTATCAAGCTCAACTCTTGCCATTACTTGTCGTATTATTTTACAAAATATTTTGTATTTTGACTGTTATATTATTGATCCATGCAACTCTAAAGCTCATCAAGCATCTTTACCATACAGACAGACAGGGTTTCTGATTCAAGGTAAAGAGAAGGATAAAAGTCAGTTTCAAAAGCTGATTTGACTGCCAGCATTGGCAAGTGAGAGCGAGCAGATGACTCTTGGAGTACATTTGCCCGTCTCTGTGTCTGTTTCAGTATCCTGCCCAGTCCTTTCCTTACATAAGCACAACATTTGAAAGAACTGGATAGAGTAACAGATGTGACAGAAACCAATTACCATTGCACAACAATTGTGGTTTGTTAGAATGTTATATACAAAAATCTATGACTAAACAAAGAGATTTTAGCAGGAATAATATTGAACTTGTCAGTGTTTATCATAACTTTGATTCTGGTGAAGAGCTCTTCTGGTCACTAACTTCCAGTGAATCCACCTACTCTCTCTCTCTTTGAAAAACCTAAACTAAAACTTGAGAAATTGAGCATGGCATTTGTTTAAGTTGCTGCGCTCAGTCTGGCAGCTCACTGCTAGCCCACACCAGCTGATGGCTTAGCCGATACACCGCTCTAACCTTCAACTGGAAATCCGCATATATGACACACTTTTTAAGTTGCTTTTGCCTGTTTACAGTTGACTTTGCAATCAGCCTCCACCCTGTTTCTTCTTTCATTCTGTGTCTGATGTGATCAATATTTTTTTCTGTTATGTACTGTTGTCCTCTCACTTCTCTCTTTCTTCTAGCCATATGAAAAGGCCACAAGGTGTGACCTCCTTAAATTCATGAATATAAGAATAACAATCTGCTATCCTGACTGACATCCAAGAATCCTGTAGTGATTCCTACCTAGTGATGTGACTCTGGGGTGGATACTGTCTCTTGAGTGGTTTTTGATTGACAACATCTGAACAACAACTGAAATGTTGTTGAAATATAATATATAGTCATTATGTTTCAAGAATTAAACATTTCATCTTATTTCATCTTATTGTCATCTTATTGTTATTAGAAAAGTGTAAGTACCAGTCAGTTTATCTTAATATCTGTTGGCCTGGCATAAAATAATGAACAGATTGCATCAGGGTGAATGATTCCTACTCACCCAGTCTGGCTTTTCTTGTAGCACAACCCACCACGGGAAGCAGAGCTTTTAGCTGCTCTGCTGCTGCTCTTGCCCTATGACAGCTGGGATAGGCTCCAGCGCCCCCCGCGACCCTGAAAGGATAAGCGGAAGCGAATGGATGGATGGATATTATTATTATTATTAAGGTTCGAAGTGTTTTAACAGTATTTGATAAATTACCCTTATTTTTATTTATTTATTTATTTTACCATATGTATGATTTGTAATCACTTTGGATTTTCATCATCAGATGAACCATCAGATCATATTTTTAAAATACCAGCCAAACCAGCAATGACATTTCAGGCACAGTTATGTAATTGTCAATCATAATTACCGAAACTAAGGTAATCACAAATGAATCCCTGGTAAACATTAGCGGGTGAATTAATTGTTTCCTTGTCACCTTGGGTGTGCTAGTTAGCATATAGTGCTTCAGCTTGGCTTTTATGGTTCAGTAATGTGCTGTGTAAAGCACATGGTTATTCTAAAAAGAACTGATCACAGATTGAGAGTTAGGTAGATGCATCATCAGATTGGGATGTACTTGTGTCTATTTGTTTTATGGGCTCTGTGGTTGGTGGTCAGCACATTTCTGCTGAGTAGCAAAAGGCGGAACAGTAACAGCTTCCCACAGAGTTATTCGCTCCAGCTAATGTAGTGGGAGGAACGTAGGAGGGCTGAATAATGAGTGATGCTTTAGAAGGGCAAAAATAAGAATGTTAGGGATGATCATAACCATATGGACACAGCGTTTAGCTGGGAGTGAACGAGTGAGCAATAGAGGAAGGGAAGTGAAGGGAGGGTTAGAACAAGAAAGCGGGTTGGCTGACAGAAAGAAGGGGTGAAATGCTGGCCAGAATCTGAAATGTCTGAGGATAAGGATGCTGGCAAATGAGGAAGAAATTGAAGTTAAGCCAAACAGCTCACCGATGAGGGGAGAGCTGTGCTTTCTGTTTAGAATTTGAGGGAAGACAAAAGGCAGGGGAAAGAAGAAGAAGAAAATAAATGGGGAGGAAATAACAAAAAGGAAGCAGCATTCTGTTTCACACTCCGGTGGTGAAGCTGAGGGCCTCACAAGAATTCTCCTGGCTATGTCCGCCATCTGGAATGTCGAGTCACTTCCTCTGTCTGCCCTGTGCTCTTATGGGGTTGTCCTCTGCCTCTGTGCTCCCTCCCTCTGCTCTGACAGCACTCTGAAGAACCGCTGGAGACCACGCCAGAGCAGACGGAACCTTTCTGACGAGACACACACAGCAGCACACTCTTCCAGCATGAAAGTAAATTTCCCAGAGTAGCCTACATCCAACCAAACAAACTCCAAATGGAATCTGAGCTTGGAAGAAGGAAAGGCAACTGCAGTGATCAGCTGAACTTTTGGAGGGTGTTCCTATTCCCTTATATGGCAACAGAGCTGGGAAATCATTTGAATTAGTCTGGTTTCTGTTGCATGCCTGTCTGGTTTTAGTGCTGACTGAGTTCCATCTGGTATGTTTCTGTCTTTGCTGCCTGCGTGTTTGCCTGGGAGTGTGTAAGTGCTGTGTGTGCAGCTTGATTTGTTTATTTTGCCATTCTTGGTTCTTCTTTTCCTGTTGTTTGCATGTGGGGCTTTTGTTTTGGGACAAGAGGAGGGCTTGTGTTTGTGGTTTAGCTAGAGGCTCCGTCATTGCCTGAGGGGTGGCTGTTTCATTCAGACTCTGCACTTCTCGCTGTTTTTCTTCTACCTCCTTCTCTCTCTTTCTCCCTCCCTCCCTCTGTTATGATGGTCTGTGTTTGTTGGAGCAACACACCCACCTAGGTGCAGCAACTTGCGACCAAAAACTGTAACTAGGTCTTTCTCTACACAAGGATATTACCAGATAAATGGACTGAAGGCTGTTGCTGGAGTGGACTAACCTTGCGCTCAGCTGGATATTTCTTCTTTGTGACCTCAATTCAACAGGATATGTGACCCAGAAGAAAACAACAGGAACCCAGGAAGTGCTAGCTGGTAGAATTTTCTTCTTTCTGACACTTTGGTCATGAAGAAGAGGATCATGGGAAAGGCTGAAACACTAAAGTAGACCACTCAGCACACTCAGTGGCTAATGACATAGGTGAAAGAGCTCCAGTGCGGTGCTATCAGAGCAAGTGTGACAGTAAACCTATGTCATCACCTCATGTGGATTATTTTTATGATCATAACTCTCAACATTGTTTGCCATGGCTACGGCAGCATGGTATCACCGTGACATCAGCCGTGTGTATGCAGAGGACTTGTTGGCACGGGCAGGGAGAGATGGCAGCTACCTAGTGAGAGACAGTGAGTCTGTGCCAGGAGCCTATGCATTATGCCTGCTGTGAGTACACACACACACACACACACACACACACACACACACAATTTCAGAGAGTGAGCCGTTTGCCTCTCATAATCGAACACAATTATCTTATGGACTATACTCTTTAGGCCATAGGTGTCAAACTCTGGCCCGCGGGCCAAATTTGGCCCGCAGCCTAATTACATTTGGCCCGCGAAGCCATACCAAATTACTATTAGAGCTGGCCTACTGGTATTATACAGCTAATATATATATTGTTTAGTATTAAGCTTTGCTTGTTCCATATTCAGTTTTTCAGCAAAACGTGTTTGAGTCCATAAAAAAAGATTCATTCTTATATCTGGAGGAATAAATATATTTCAATAAATATTAACGTTAGCCCGCTACTTTGTTCCAGTTTTGAATTTTGGCCCACTGTGTATTTGAGTTTGACACCCCTGCTTTAGGCGGTATATTAATAACAAGCACATTTTAAATGTGAAGCCATTGATAGTAATGCTGTATCCCTCAGAACTTAGAAGGGAAAATGCAATAATAAGTGACCCTCTGCATTAATATTGCGAAATGTATTGGAAGAAAGTCTCATTTTATTTGTTTTAGCTCACTGAAAATATCAAATTTCTCATTTATTGTTCTGTTTTTACACAAAACCAGAAATAAGTACACCTACCCATGTAAGACATTTCGATTTTGGCACATAGACCTGTCAAATATTAAGCATTTAGCTCTACAGAATGTCGTCATTTGTAAATTGATTCAGCAGCTTTTCTCATCCTGTCATATCCATCACTTTCACCATCATCTGGCAGAAGGCAGTGAAGGAACATCTGTGGCTAAAAGTGCCTACACGCTGGGCAGACTTCACAAATACACACTCTCCAGACTAGTCAGATGGTATCGTCCAAGTAAAGTCCATCACAGGCTGTCTAACCCTAGCTCATTGCTCCCTGTTTCCCCACTTACCCCTCTTTCTTCCCTGGGGCCCCTGAAAGTGGGCAGGAGCTCCAGCGACCGCACTACGCTGACTGCTCATCAGCCAAAGCCAGATACATTCCTGAAAGCTGAGCCTGGCTGGTCACAGTGCTCCCACTTTCCCTTCATTCTTTTCTCAGTATCTCATTCACTCTTTGAAATTGCCCCCCTCCCCCCTTTTTGTACTGACCCTTTCTTCCATCACTTTCTTCATGTAATATACTGTAGCAAAACACTTTAAACCTGTTCATCTTTATATGCTGCCTGAATGTGTCTTTTGAAGTGATGGATGGAGATGATGTTCTTCTTTGACACATTGTTGATCTGTAGTCAGTGATCTGTAAAACTACTGAGAAAATTATTGTCTTTAATACACACATGGGATCCACATGGGATCCTTAAAAAAACCTACATTTATGCACACTTTGCCTTTGAGCATTTGCCTTGTAGTATTTTGCAGTACCAATAACCACTGTAATTTTTGGTTTCTAAAGGTTCCAACGTCATGTTCACACCTATCGTATTCTTCCTGACGCAGATGGTCTTCTAGCAGTTCAGGTGAGTGCTCCCTGTCACATGGCCCTGGATGCTCTTCCTGGAAAAAAGGACCCAAGTAAAAACACCACACCATACGCGTCTCAAACCTTGTCACAAACTGTGCACACGGAGGGGAGTACGACTCAAGTTAGAAGGATCAAACGTTGGTTTGTTTTTGCCTGTTGTGAGGAGAACAGGAACATGTTTGTGTTTCGTCTCTGTAAAGACTCTGTTACAACTGCAGTAACTTTGTTGTTTGAATGGCATCTCTGCCATGTGGCTGCATGCTTGCAGCATGAGCTCAGCAGCACAGAGGAGAAATTGTTTTAATGTCTCAAAGATTCCTACTCAACCCACACACTAAGTCATTGACCAATGGGTGTGCTTATTTGTCATGTGTATATATGGGTCTGTTTGTGTTAAGCGTAATGATTCTGTTGGATGTGGGAGAGTTTAAGCCAGAGATGGTATGTGTCTGTTTTTGATGCTTCGAGCAGGCGTATTTAGTTCGCAAATGACCTGATTATTAGACTATTAAAGAACACACACAAGCACAAAGTTTGCACCAACAAAAGCACGCACTCAGTGGGTGAGTGAGAGGAATAAATATTTTTGGGGCCTAAACCACAAATCATCTCTGACCTTTCTTTTTTTTATAGCAGTGTCTGCTTATTAAAGTTCAATAACAAGTTTAATAGTGATTGTCTGGCAGTTTGTTTTTTTAAGGCCGCTGACTTGGAAAAATCCTCCAGTTTCCAATAAAGACCTAAAACTCTGTTGCTATTTCAGTTGTTTTTCCACTGCCATGTGTATAAACCTTCAGTATGTATTTTCCCTCACTGGATTTGCTCCACTAACTCACTAGTCTTGCGCTTGCCTTTTTGTTTTTCCAAGAGGGCCATGGAGATATTTTGGGGCCAATTTTGTCTTTCACTGTCTTCTATTCCTTTTCATTTCTTTTTAATTGCTTTTCAAGAGACCCTTGTGGTATAAAAATACTATTTGAAGAGTTCCTGGCAAAACAGACATTTAGCTCAAGCCAAAAACTGGTTTCTCACCACAAAACGAAAACAAAAACTTCTAAAGGAGGGCACAGGAAAAGGGCACACTTGGTTTTGTGGTCTAATATGTACCATGCCATTTTGTATAGTGTGAGTACCTATGGCAGCATCTTTTCTTTATCTTAAATTCCAATCATGCTGCTTTCAGTTACTTTAAGTTTTCCAGATTTTAGTGAAAACCTTTAGAGAAGGCTTACTTGAGCTTGTGGTTTTAATGTGTGTTGTATGAATCTAGTCATGTATTAAAGATAATTTTGAAAAGAAATTTGTTATTATGTGGTGAGGGGATTTTAGAGGTTTTTTTTTTTATGCAGGACCACAGTGAAACAGAGAGCTAAGTGCTGCTATAGTCAGGAAATAGCTGGAAGTGATGTCATCTCTCTGTTGGGCCACAAGGGAAAGCTTTCTAAATCTCTCAGGGACACCTTTTATCACAGCAAATCATCTGCATGTGCCTTTTTCTGTCATGCAAATCAATACTTCTGCTTTGCTCTACCAAGCAAGATTTCGGAAGAGGAAAGGGGGTGGATGTCTGGTGTGAAACATTCATTGAAAGATATGTTGTACAAATTAAAATCTACTTAGTAATTTAATTCTTTTATAACACAGTCGGGGAAAATTTTCTCTTAACAATCTTGAAATCTCATCGTTGATTCTTAACAAGTTTCAGTGTTTGTGGATCCAAATAAGGCCTTCATATAGCAGTACATTCTTTTACATATACGTTGAAGCTATGCAGTAATATCTGTACTTCTATGCACAACCTTTTAAAAGTGAAATACTCTTTTTAATTCAAACTACTCGACAGATTTAAACAGAATTATTGCATCCCTTACCTTCTGCATTCCTTTTTTTGGTTTTCTTCCTGTGTAGAATGAGAATTTATGCTAGGTCAAGACATTTTAAACCAGACATAAAATGAATCATCTGCTGTTGCATTTGTGTGTTTTATAGACAACACAAGGGGTGCAGGTGAATTGTTTCCGGACACTGGAGGACTTGGTGTTGGGGTACCAGCAACCCCACAAAGGCCTGGTCACTCCTCTGCTGTATCCTGTACCCCGTGATACGGACAGTGGTGACGAGAGCTCAGGTTGGATGTCACGATAAATCCGTTTTGTCTGTACCCTTTATTAACCTGCATGTTGTACACATAATAAAACATGTGGCTTTAATAGCGATGTCTAGATCCTTCACTCTGTGCTGTAATGTTCAAATGTTGTGTTTCGCGTATGCACAGATGATGAGAAGCCAACTTCTGCTCCAGCGTCTGTCGGCACAGTACCTTTCATAGGCTCCCCAGCAAAAGCAGCCCCTCGTGCCCTGTTTCTCGATAAGTTGCAAGAGCTAAACACATCCAGGTATATTTATTAATTAATTCCATTGCCAAAAATACACCTATTTCAGAGATATTCCTTGCACAGTTTATGTTATAAATTATTAGCCTTTTTTAATAAGAAGTGTCCATATTTGATATTACTGCATCACATAAAGTCACATGCATGAATGTGGTTTCTTACAAACTTATGCTGCCTATTAATTTCTATTTTCACGTTAATATGATTGCATCTAATCAGCTCTTTTATTAGCTCATGCACCTGTTGGCGATCAAGCATAGCAACTATTTGCAAAGCACTTCCCTCTTTTGACTTTTTTGCCCTATTAATAAACTGTGCTGATATACTGTCTGCTCTGTGTTAAACCTCTGCTTTTAGCCTACTCTGTTTCTCTCATATTCAGTACAAAAAAGATGGCTTTCATGCTTTATACAATATAATCTGATTTTTTTCCTTGTTTATTTAATAGTACTGCAGGTGATGTGATTGGCCTGTTGAATGACTACCTCTTCAGTGAGCTTCCTCTTGACATTGAGAATGTGCATAAAGGGGCAACAACACTATGCCACCTCAAACGCACTCTGGGTGCTGCCTGCCAAGGCCTCAACAGGTTAGCATCCTTTCACACTTGATTTCAGTGCTGAGCTTTTGACCAGTTGTAGCAGCCTGCAGTGTATGGATTGTTATTGCCACACACAAGGTGTCATTGTTTGCTATATGCAGGATATATACTAGTTCACCTGCAATAGACTTTTAATTTTTGATTCACTTCTTTAAAATTTACGTATGTTTGAGACTGATTAGGAAAGCATGATGGTAAAGTCATTAGCACTATTGCCTCACAAGGAGGTTCTGGGTTTGAATCTATCGCAGGTCCACTGAGATCTTTCTGTGGAGTTCATATCTTCTTCTTGTACCTGTGTGGGTTCTCTTGTGGTAAACCAGCTTTCTCATGCAGTTCATAGATATTGTTATTAGGTTAATGTTAAATTGTCTACAGGTGTGATTTTGAGACTGAGCGATGTTACTCTCTGTTAGCCCTGTGATAGACATTCCCAGGGTTTACCCCACCTTTCGGGATAGGCTCCAGCTTCCTCATAACCCTGAATTGGATAAGAAGTTAGGAATAACAGATGAATAATGGGTAAATTAAAATTGTGCATTTATTTATTTAACAGTGAGATTGATCTGACTCTCTCAAGTCTGGAGACCCTGGCCAAAGTCTTTGACCATCCTAGCTGCTCCTTAACACCCCTCAAGGCACAGGTACAATACAAACTATATATTATGGTTTTTTTTTTTCTTAACATTATGCACTAAATGTAGTAGACATCCATATAGACAAACTAATTGAGTGCTTTTTTTTTTATTGTTAACAAGGGTTCAGAGATGGATATAGAGAACCTGTTGTGTAAGATCTCAGCTTTGGTCAGTCTCCTTTCTTCTTTGGAGAAAAAGGTACGTTTATGATGAAAATAAAACTTCTGCTGTGGAGCTGAAAAAGGTCTAACACTCGAAAACTCATTCATATACTTCTTACATGGGCAATAAAGCTACATAACTTAGAATTAAAAGTCTTTAACAAACTACCAGGCAGCTCTTTTTGTTAGTCTTTATCCTTTTCAAAGTTTACCTTTAGTCATAGCGTTCGGTTAAGTGATGATAAAGTGTTAATAATTATACATAAATTAAAACAACCCCCCTTTTTTTTTCCTGATAGACAGCACAAGTTATACATTGCAACAATGCATTTGATATCATTTTCCCATAAAGGTATTAAAAGCTTTACAAGATGCTGTGACTAATCACAACCTGGCAGTGCAGCCCAGCCCACCCCCTCCTGAACCATCACCGACCTGTGTAACCCCCGCAAAGAGCAATGCCCGGCAGCTGCCAGTCTACTCCTTTCAGGTAAACTAGAGTGAGAAAAAGCCTCAAGTTTTACTACAATCAAAAATCTATAGTCTGTTCTTCACTTACATGCCATCTTTTAAAGAGATGACTGAAAGCAAGACAAATGAACTCATCTCTGACCTTAAATGTCCTGATGTCTTTTTTCAGGTGAAGATGTTGAGGTATGGCAGACAAACTGTTTCTGTGGATGTGGACGCAGGAGTGTTGCTTTTTGACAAGAAGACTGGCTCATTTGGTATAGAAAGAGTCTCACATGACAGAAGTAAGGAAATCTTTGCTTTGTTTCCTAGCTATTTACAGTGGCTAAAACGTATCTCTTCAAAGCAAAAATATTGTTTAATAATTATTATATGTATGTATTACTTTATTATTTTCTGTTTTTTCCCTGTTTATCAGTCCTTCAGATTGTCAAGTTTCAGAGCAGTCCAGCCAAGGTACGCATGATGGTTGACAGCCACCACAGCACACCGCGGGAGATGACGTTTGAGAGTGCACGGGTAAGGCGCAATACTGAAGTTTTTCATTTACTGGAATCTGCTGTTTCTCTCATCATAACTCACTGTCATTTCTTTTAGAAATGCGATGCGTTCTGCCAGCTCCTCCAGCTGATGAAAACCAGGCACTCTCAGCGGAGTGAACCTGATGTGATCTCCGTTTTTGTTGGCACCTGGAATATGGGTAAACATTAAAACACAATGGGAGTCTTTTTTCACAGCCAGACAACATTGTGCTGAGTTATTGTTAGGTGATCTTTTTAACTCTGACTTCTTCTGTTTTAATTGTGCAGGTGGCTCCCCTCCTCCTCGAAGTCTACAGTCGTGGGTGACCTGCTGCGGTCTGGGACACACCCCTGATGACTCAACCGCCTTGCTTCCTCATGACATCTATGCCTTAGGGACTCAGGAAAACCCCCAGGGGGAAAGAGAGTGGACAGATCACATCAAAGCAACCCTTCGCAGCTATACTCACATTGATTTCAAACAAGTAGGTGTCCTTTTCTCAATTTTCTTCTCAGCTGAATTCTGTGATTCCCATGGCTAAATATGGAGTAAATTAATCTAAATCCATCACATGTAAATGTAGAGAGATGGGTTGTTAAATGCATGTTAAATCATCCAGATAAGCAAATCCCAAAAAGCTGATTTTGTTCATCTGTTCATCAGTGACTTCTTCAGTCTAAGAGAAGTTGATCAAAGAAATGTTTCACCCACTGAAAACGCTACATCCAAATGAATTAAATAAGAGGTTGATTGAATTTATACATCAAAGTTTGTTAATTGTCATAGAAATGTAATAATTACTTCAACAATCAGAGGCAAGGTCCACTAATAGGATAAAGTGAGGAGCTTTATCCTATCCAATTGTCTTTTATTTATTATTTACATACATAACATCACATTATGTTCATGTCCTGCAGCTTTGGATTTATATAATTACATTATTAAAACTAAATTTAAAAAAATGTTTTTAATACCGAATTTCAGTTTTCCAAATGCTCCTTACAGAATTCATTCAGTCCACGTTCATACCTCTAAAAGAATCATCCAGCTATTAAAACATTTATCTTTACACAGCCCAAAATCTCCACATATTTAATTTTATATTATTCTGTTTGATTTTTATACAAACGTTGAGTTCATGCGCTATAATACCTTTGATCTGACCAGAAGTATTTCAAAAATGAGGCTTACATTAGAAAAATGATCAACATTAGGCCTACAGTTTACTTTACAGGTTAAATGAATATCAATATTAATCTTTTGCCATGTTCTACAATTGGGTCACCTCTGTTATTAAAGTTTAATTTTAAGCTCATGTAAATCAGTGCTTTATTCTTCTTATAGCATATACAATTAAAACAATAACACTTTAGAATTTTAAAGGGCAATAACACTTATGTGAAAGCCCAAATATTAATATAAATGCATGACTAAGTGCATGTCTGTGAAGGTTCTCAGTCATCCAGGTCATTGTAGTCTAAGGAGCTTAGAAAGAAAAGCGTCTGGACTTCTTTAAGTTGCTTCTTCGGTTCTGAAGTCCAGAGCTTTTCTTTCTAAGCTCCTTAGATGACGAAGTGCATGGGAACACACATTTTGTCTCATGCAGTAAAAATGTTTAAATGGGAACATTTTTAACAACAACACACTCTAAAAATAAAGCATTTCATTCCAGAGTTTGCCTTTTTGGAAACCGTTAAATAATTGTTTTGACTGGTTGGAAACAATAATGCAGTATTACAATGTGGGGTATTGTCCTGTAGGTGGCAGTGCAGTCCCTCTGGAATATAAGGCTGGCCGTGTTTGTAAAGCCTGAGCATGAGAGTCGCATCAGCCATGTGAACACAGCCAGCGTGAAGACTGGCTTGGGGAACACATTGGGTAGGCTGCTCTGCATGATCTCACCATCACAAGTGCACACAAAGCAAATTCAGTAAATATACAGCAAGACCCCCCAAACTCTGTGCATGATTGTTGATAGGACAAGATGTTTCATTAACCTGTAGATTTAAGGTTGACTGCTTCTATTGTTTCAGGTAACAAGGGAGCTGTTGGGGTCTCCTTCCACTTCAATGGAACGTCCTTTGGGTTCGTCAATTGCCACCTGACGTCTGGAAGCGACAAAGTCCTGAGGTGCATTCTCCAAATGTGTTTAGAAATTTTGTGTGCTCTGGTCGTTTCTTGCACTTCAAAAAAACCCTTTTTATTTTGTTGTATCTCTTTTTGTTTAATGTCCAGGAGGAACCAGAACTTTGTGGACATCCTCAGGCTGCTGTCTCTGGGTGACAAACAGCTCTTTGCTTTTGACATAAGCCTGCGCTTCACCCATCTCTTCTGGTGTGGAGACCTCAACTACAGGCTTGACCTGGACGTACAGGTCAGACTGACGCTGCTTATTTCTTTGTTCTCCTGTTTCTTAACATACTGAGTGACTTAGCACACTTGAAGATTTTCCTAATAGTACATGTGAAATAACAATTATTTGTGACATCCTATACACTGATGTCACTGCTTACTAACTCCAGGACATCCTGAAGCATGTATCCAAAAGGGAATTTGAGGAGCTAATGTGTGCCGACCAGCTGACCCAAGAGAGACACAAAAGGAAAGCCTTTCTCTATTTCAGTGAGTTTCAGTTTTGCCTTGTTTTATATTGAAAGTCCAGTATTATATCTGCACGCATTGTGAAAAATGCTGAAATGCAATTTCCTAAATAGCAACAGTATGATCTCATTGACTTTTCTTATTCTTCTCACTTTCTTTATTTATCATGGTTAAGAGGAAGAGAAGATAGCATTTCCACCCACCTATCGGTATGAACGTGGCTCTAGAGATTGCTACCTATGGCAAAAGTACAAGACCTCAGGGGTGAGCTTGCTTTCTTTTTTCTTTCTTTCTGAAAAACAGGGAAATGTATAAAAAAACAAAACAACGCACAACAGATTACACATCCCGAAAATAAAAACAATATTTACACCTGAATAGTTCACAAAAATTGGGGTAACTTTTAAAGTGGCATGTTGCAAGAAGTCTCATTGTCTGTGGTTGCCGGTGGTTGTTACTTCATTCTGGAACTGGATTAGCACATGTGCTTTACATGAAGCTGACTTTTTGTTTCACTGTGTATTTTTTTTTTTTTTTTTTTTGAGAATGAAAAGATGTAGTAAAAGTGTGTGCAAACAATAATCACCAACCTTTTCAGGGCTGGATCCAAATCACCCCAAAAATCAAATTTAAATCATTCAAGTAAATATACAGAAAATATACAGTCATTAAGACGAGTTATTTGTTACTTTTTTGTAACTTAATCCTCTTTAAAGGGTCGGAAGTGCTTTGGTGATTGACACTAGCTGACCCACTCTCTAAAAATAGGAGGCTAAGCGTTAAACTCATTTCTAGAACACGAATGTTTGGCATAACACAAATCCTTCAGAGCGCACGCTATGAATACGTATATGAATTTCATTTTTACGCAGACCAATACAATTCACTGTTGATTATTTTATGGCTAAATGCATTCCTGTAGGTGCGAGTCAATGTCCCATCATGGTGTGACAGGATTCTGTGGAAGTCCTACCCAGAGACGCACATCACCTGCACTGCATACGGTAAGCCGTGCAGACTGCTGCGGTAATGACCAGTCACCTATCGCCCAATAAAATGAACTTACTCGGTTGTGGGCCATTATGAAAGCAACGGTCATTTCCTCTCTATAAGCCGCACTTCTATTTTGACAAACTCAAGCAAACTGTTGAAACAAAACAGATACTGGATATTATTTTGACACACTCCTTCAAATATGATTAACAGCTCATGTGCTTTACCACAAAGTCATGTTGCTGTAGCAACAGCACACAGAGATATTTAGTGCGGCTTTTTAAATTGTGTAATATATTATCTCTTACTAGGTTGCACAGATGACATCTTCACAAGTGATCATTCACCTGTTTTTGCCACATTTCAAGTGGGAGTGACATCACAGTCCACCTCCAAAACAGGTGCTGTCATGGTTGTTGTCCCTTTGGACATAAGCACTTTGACAGAATGTCTTCGTGAAATTAACAGTACAGTATTTTCAATTCAAACAGATTCAAATTCCAGCACGGAGAGGGCCTGGATTATTCTCGAAGGTATTGAGGCGATTGTGAAGACGGCGAGCAAGGCAAAGTTCTTCATTGAATTTCATTCTTTGTGCCTTGAAGGTATGGTTTCATATCAGTAAGTGAATTTTTTTGTGAAGCATTATGCACCAGAGTCGTTTATTTTTAGTATTTCTCTTTGCAGAGACGCGACGTTCAAGTGAGAATGACTCACAGAGCTGTGACGTTCCTGGGTTTCTCAAACTCGCCTGGTCCTTCAAACAACTACCAAAGGTCGGGCATTCAGACTATTGAGAAGCGGCTAAAATATAACTCATCTATTTATTATTTTTTTAACTTGTGTTTCTCTGTGTGTCCTATTATAGCTCCTTCCAATTATGTCTGAGATGGATCATCTTCAAGATCAACACATGCTGCTGTCTGTGAAGTCATGTGATGGGTTTGAATCATACGGTTGGTCGCTGAGCAAGTTTGTCCCTTCATGACTGTAGCATTGCCAAACAGTGCCTTCAAAGACCCAACTATGTTAAAACACAATGCAATAGTGTTTTTTTTTAATTAAATTTACTATATTCTTATCAATACTAATACTTCCTTTATTTGGCTTTGCAACCATCTCGTGTCAAATCTCATACATAAACAAAGTTTTACTTGATCTAATGAGCATTTTTATAAAAAATATCTTTGCCATAGGTGAATGCTGTGTGGCTTTGCGCTCCGTCACCGGTGCATCTGACCAGTTTGAGACTTTTCTGAGTCACCGAGGTGAGGAAATGGGCTCCATACGCGGACGTGTCAGAGTTCATGTGCCCAAGGACAAGCAAGCAACGCGGGAGAAGATCTATGGTGGGTCACATTAAACTGGTCTTCTTTTAACCTCTGCCTTGCTTGCACTATCACTTCCCACTAAACCTTCATCTCCATCCTCTGTCACTTTCTTTGACTCCTGTGAGTTTCACATTGCTTCCTCTATTTGGTTCCTCAATGATCCCTGGCTTGGCTTTACACTTGCTGGTATCTATCGGCTGCTTCCTCTTTTGGCTCCCGATTGACTGACCAGATGCATCCTGAGACAGGACAGATGGGTATTATGCCATCAGGTCAGGCACAACACACACAACAACAACAGCCTTTGGCCTAATCACCCCAAACAGACTTAGTTTTGTAAGTCCATTTTGTATACTAGAAAATGAGATTTTCATTTCCTGTGATTTGACTTTTCCAGAGTGCTTCAGTATTGAGAAAGATCATAAAGGCTCTGGTAGGGGACACATGTCTCCTGCAGTGACACGGATCCCTGTAACCAGGTGAGGACAGCGTCATTTGTCAAGAAAAGGGGCTCGGTGACATTTTCTGGGACAGACGTTGTACAAATGATTAGTGGATGTGAGCACATTTTGTCTATATTTTTCCATACTATCATGCTTACATTTAGATTCACATTCCACTGTATACACGTATTTTAGAGAATTGTATGAGAGAAATTTGTTTCCCATCTAACTGGCATAGATGTTGAAATGTACTACTTTAATTACTTTAATCTGAATGTCTGAAAACTTACGTTTCCCAATCTCTGGCATCTGATGGCACAAATTTCCCAAGACTAGAATACATTTTTGGCATTTTAAAGTGCAGCATCATTGAGAAACTTTGCTGGTTAGTTAAATACATGCAGATGGGCTTTTCTTGTTGAAGGCATTGTGATATGGAAGCCATATATCTTTAGTTGCCTCTGTCAGAAACTATTAGAAACTGCTGTGCAGGGCTTTGGCTGGGATTACACTTGCTTTCAGACATAGATGCCATCTAACATCACGACCAAATTGTTAATCTCGTGCTTTTTCCATGTTTGAAGTCTGCTTGGATGAATTATGTGTAGTTTGTGGTATGTAGAGTAAGGTGTGTGTAAGTAAGCTTTTACGGGAACTACAAATGCTGGTGCTTTAGTTACTGCGGCCCTTTACATGTGATCCACCGGAATATGACTCAATGATGATATCTTGTGCCTATGCTACATTCTGTGAAAAATGGACTAGTCCTTAATGTAGACTCCAGGTGGAAAATATAAAACTAATGACTATGTGAATGTAGTGTCTGCAGCTGTCTGCGTACATGCCTGTAAGTGAGCACAATCCTGGCTTAAACACAGAGCCAACATTGTTGGAGATGTGGAAACTATAAAAACAATTGTGGGTAATTACTGTAATTAATATGAATTAAAAATATAAAATGCTTTATTCTTTGTCAGTTTGGTTAGATTTGTTTACACATTAAGCATGAAAAGATAGTGACGCGTTGGTTTATTAAACCAGTACCTCTTCTTTGATGTTTGCATGGCATCCTTATATGATTCAGTTGCTTTCACAAAGTATACAGTAATACCTCATCTGAACTTCTTGAATCTTGCTCCAGCCAACCTTTTATCGATGTTATAATAATAAAAACAAAGCTTATTTTAACTGAAAGGAGCTAACTCATTCTGGGAACTAATTGAAATGAAACTGAAACAAAACTCTAAGAAATATTAGAAAGTTGTGTGGCTACTGAGTGAGAATTGAGGATGACAGTAACTTTTGTATGTGGTTGAGTTTGCTTAATTCAGGGCTTTTTTAATTCATTGCAGGTCCTCAGCTGCTCCCGCCAAACTAAATCCAAGCAGCTACACCAATCCCGCTTACTACATCTTTGAAGGCGTGTCCGTGCCACATAGGGTGGAAGATGCGCTTCCCCATCGAAGGGATCCTCAGGTGATCTGGTCTGGTAATGAGGCTTTGCAGCTCCCAAAAGTCTCAGGGAGGCATAGCTTTGACAGCAGACCTGGCCGCAGATCGGACTTTACAGAAATTGAAATTCCAGCCATGCTGTCCCAGTATTTGACAACCAGTGACCTTCATGCATCCCAATCCCACTCTTCTTATCAACTCTTTCCAGCCAAAACCCCATCTCCCATTCCTCCACCATCACGTAAAGCCATTTCACATTGCCAAGAACAGACTTCACCACCCACAGGCAAATATCAAAGTAAAAATATTGTTCTGGACTCCCTACAGCCTGAAGTCAGTGTAAAGAACTTGTATATGAATCACTCAGCAATCATGAGGGAAAAGGTGAGAAGGGATCAACATCAGCTTCTTCCAGAAAGGACCAACCCTATCAAAGCAGCTAAGACACCATCAGCTCTCCCCTACACTCGCACACACTGTCAGGCCACTGCTTCCTGGATAGTGGATCATCAGCCCCCTGGACCTACAGGAGACAACTCACTCACTGCTTTGCAAATTGCCAAGTCCCTCAGCGAAGTCGACTTTTTCCCCATAGAGCAGAGAGGCCCATCTATACCCTACCAGAGGACGAATTATAGAAATGGCCCTTCCATGCATGGAGATAGAGGATGCAGCTGGGAGAAAGAGGTGGGCGTAATCTTTTTTTCAAAGACAAAGCTATAAGTTCTGAATTTTGTTAACCAAATAAATATATATATAGTTTATCTCACTGCAGGTGTCGACCCTGCAAGGCGCACCAGAGACTGTGCAGGAACTTCTTAGTACTCTGGGCCTTCAAAAATACACCCTGGGACTTAGCCTCAATGGTTGGGATGATCTGGATTATTTCAGGTAACATTAATTTAGATATTTATGTAAGATCATTATGAGTATAACACCAGTGTATCTGTCCTGGAGTGACTCCATGGATAACTTTATTCTCTGTTTTTGCTTTTTTCTATTTATTTTTTGTCTCTTAATCTCTTAATTCCTGTGGCCAATGACTACAATCACACAGACCTAAACATTTGAGAATGCCACACACAAATTCACAATCTGCTCGTTCTTCACAGACACAGTTTGAAAAAGGACAACAACACACAAACATACTGTTAGTTTATCCTCATAGCTGTCCAGTTTCCAGAACAGTACTTTAAATGCTTGATTGCCTGTATGTGGTGCATTTAGGGGAAATGTGTAAATTCAAAACAAAACACTTTCAATTTTTCCAAACACGCTTTGATAAACAATTATAAACATAGGAAGAAGTAGAAAAAAGCTCATGTGAGTGAAAGGTCATTTCAACACACTTTTCTGGGAGGCAACAATGAGCAGTGAAGAGGAACTAAGGGGATCTTTTCTGAGACATTGTAGTTGCTTCTTGGAAACATATAGGCCACTTTAATGTAAACTCATATGTCATATCTCAACACTGGTACCACTGAATCGTGTTTTCCCCCACTACTTTCGATCTTGCTTGTCTTTTTTCTTCACAATGGAACTTGGTTTCTGTGAAATCTGCACATGCGAAATGCATAATACAAACATTATGACATTCTTACTTCATTTTTATGAACATGTGATTTCTTGTTTGCGTCACAGTTGTTTCTTCTTTCAGTTGCACTGTAGGAATCTTATCCCAGAAGGAGATTTTGTAACTACATAAAACTTTTGTATGAGACTTTTTTGATATTATCTATGACTCAACAGCTTTGCGGTAACTTCAGATAGAGTGCAAACTAACAGTGGATGCACATTAGAAGCTGATCTTTTTATTACTGGTTAAAAAGAAGGAAAAACTGTGAGCAAGTATGACGATGTGTGTCCGATGCTGGAATATTAAATGTATCTTTAACTCTACAGTGGCATCACTGAGGAGGATCTGTGCGCTGCAGGAGTAATGAACGCTTCACACCGACGCAGGATTCTCGAGAATCTGCCCAGGACCTGGAACTGAAATAGAGAAACGGGCAACATTAATGGTACAAAATATCATAATTCACTCAGTTACAACTGGAAGAACTGTTAGAAGTAAAAGTAAGACAGGCTGCCAGCTGGACATTACTACAGCCCTGTCAACTTTTCATTTATCACATCAGTACTGTAACAATAGATTGTGTGTGTCGACACAGCAAAGAGAACACAGGAAGCATGCGTTGCACAATCTGCTTGATTCTTCCATCCATGTTGCCAGAGCGTGATGTTATCCATGGAAGTCCTTGGTAGGCATTTCTCATTACTGACGCGTATACAAATATTGCTTTGTGGTATTAAGGTCTCATTGATTTTATTGTCAGTGAATTCTAAATGACTATAATATTATAGTCTTTCAATTGCCAGTGTTCATAAAAGGTTATTGTTTTATTTTCCACTTCCATCCCTTCTGCTGTCTGTTTCCATTACACTGCTATTAATGAGCCTGGGCCTGAGCTTTTAAAAGCATCTCTATTAAACCCACGAAGCATAAAATCTATCTGTATCTACTGGAAGTTCATCTGGAAAGCTGATACAAAAAGGCCTGCCATATGTCATTTTGTTTACTGTCCTATACTGTTATTATCCTGCCACTTAATCTGTAATATGCCCACTGTGCATGGTTCATGCAGTTTTTATAAAGTGGATAAAGCAACTCTTGACTATCACCAAGCAATTGCATGTCATTTCATGCCGTCAGACAGTTGCTTCCATTGCCGTCCATTGCACAGATCATGGTGTGTTATCTTACTTGAATGCTGTCTGATATAGCCTACTTAATGGCCTAGTACTGAAGTGCACAGGGGTTATTGCAGTCAAAATCATCTACTACAAGTATAGAATATGTAAAATCAGATATACAACCAAATTTCCTTTACAATGACCTTATATTAATGTGTGCAGTGGAAGATTTATTCTTTAGTGATGCCATGATAATGGACTTTGATAAAGTCTAAGCCAAACAGATGATTCCGTCTTATATCCTGAGGGACATTGTACAAATTGTACGAATGCCTTTTTTTTTCTTTTGGTTTTTTGTTTGTTAAGCTACTTAACACTCACCTGTGAAATATTCAAGCAAAGGCACTTAACTCAAGGAAGTAACCACTGTTGCACCTAAACAGAATATTTTAGCAAAGAAACAATTTGAAATTGTTACTAGCAGCCTGCCTCAAAAACACATAATTTGTCCTGATTTCAGATAACACAGTTTCATTACCAAGGTGATTCACAAAAAGCTGTTAGCTGAAAACTTTGCATTTCGCAACATAGTGTTCAGTGTGTACTTGAGAAAACTGACAGATGGACCATATCTGAAAGTCATATCCTTAGGAAACAGAAAAAAAAACAAGAAAAGGCCTGACAGAGGACCTAAGATATGCATCTGGACCTTCTTGTGGATCTGTCTAATGTTTGCCAAAACCTAAACAGAAATGGTCTCAGTGGAAGGATGTCTGTCAGGAAGCCATTCCTAAGAAAGGGAAACAGCGAGAAAAGGCTGGCATATGCCAAATTATACAAGAACTGAACCAGAAATATGTGGCAGCAGATTTTGCAGAATGAAAATTTTTCTTTCAAATCATTGTCAGTATAGGGGTCAGGAGAGAGGAACAACACATATGACCAGATTTGTTATCTTGACAGAGAACGGAACAACGTCCTTCAAGAAGCCTGGATAACTATTCCTGAAGACTACTTAAGAGAAATAAGAAGAAAGCTTGTCTAAGAGTTCAAGCTGTTTTGAAGAATAAAGGTGGTCATACCAAATATCGCCTTTCAAGCTTGTTAGAATTCTACAAACTCAGATGTTGTCTTACACATCGTATTGCCATGAAAGGTTGCACATGTTTCACTATGGTAAATAGCTGCAGCTATTTTCAATTTTCCCAGCAAATGATCAAGAAATGATCTTTAGCACAGCACTTCACATCAGATACGTCCGTACAGACTGAAATTATGCCCAAAACAGAGTTGCTTTTGCCAGCTCACCTATAATGACACATTATGAGGTAAAATGATACATTACAGCAGAAAGAGGTGAGACAACTGTGAAGCTGACTCAGAAGCAACAAATAATCCCCGGCGTGTGAATGTTTTTCAGGTTTTAACAGTTGCATTCATTTGAGGTAGTTACTTATTCCAGTACGGCCAAACACATGTACTAACAGCAGGCATGTGTCAGTCACCACTAAGTCAGTGACCTACTAATTGTAGTGATGTCATCACCAGAGGAGTGCTTGTAAGTTCAAAGTATGAAACAGCTGGCTTTAGCTGTAAAACAAGTTTTTTTTTAAAGTCACATGCTTTGCTGTATATGGATTTAAGCTGACATACAAAAAACTGCCACTTAGCAGACAGCAGCATAACAGAGTAAAGAAAGAAAAAGAAACCCACGTTACATTTATAAGATATCTAAACTACTCTCATGACTATGCAGTAAAAATGAGGCTGCCACCAATTAACGTAGTTTAGCACAAAGGTGTGTGCGTGTTTGTTGTCTGCCAGCCTCATGAAGTGTTAACAAGACTTCAGCCAAGAAATAACCTAACAAACCACTAGTGTTATAATGTCAGAGAGTTCTTCGCTTTAGTACTACGTGGAATAAACAAACAAAGCTTCGTTACTGATCTTTAAATCTTCTGGGTTTTGTTATCTTTGAATACAGGAAGTCTAGTTGCTTTGTCCTGTCTGGTCTTTATGCTGAAATTTTTTTTTTTTTTTTGCAGTACACGTATGAAAATATGATCGCTTTTCTCATCTGGTTGTTAGTAAGAAAATGACTGTGTTTTTCAAGAATTTTCTTGCAGTCTGATGCGTTAACATCTCATGTGTCCATTGACACTTAACTGACCGATAAGGAGCTTGCTCTGTTAGTGGCCCACTCACATTCCAGACATTTAAATCACCCAAACTCTTCTGTACACAGAAACTCTGCACTGCTACCAACAAGATGACCTTCCCGCATGGAGACACATTCACCAGGAAGCTGACCCGCGCACACACGCACAACCAAACATGGTTACTGTGTCTTTGACATATTAACCTTTGGGTGAAGAACAACAGTTTCTATTTGAGAGGGTTCTGCTTTCATGTAAATTAATTCTCATTTCCCCTAAAAGATCTTTAACTGGCTTAAAAAAAAATTCAGTTTGATGCTCTTTTGTCAAAGTATAACTGACTCTTCTTTAAAATCAGACAACTGTACTATGCAAGGAGATCGTCTCTCTGCATATCACCTGAGTCAAGGAGCATGCTCTGTCTGGACTATCTGGGAACAGATCATAAAATGGCGATTAATATAATAGCAAAACACCTTTGCTATTATCTCTGTTATTGCAATACAGTATCTTATCTTGTGATATTCAGTGTGTGGATCATCCAAACTTTGGTTTAGGAACTTTGCCTCATTTCATCTTACTTTATTGCCTGTCTCCAACAGCATTATTGGACAACTTACCTGCTTTTATTTCTTTATGATCCAGCTATCATTACACGCCCTAACAATCTTGTTTGGCCCAGAATGCAGTGGAGAGGAATAACTTAATCCCTAACAACTCAAGGAAGATACACCGCTATAAAGTCGTGACTCCTCTGACAGATGGGCTGTTCAAATATTATCTCCTATAACATTTCAGTATTGACTGCTATAAAGTTTTGACATGGGAATGAGTCTCATCTCAGACATACAATGCCAGCAGTGGAAGAATTACTGAGCTGTTTTACTAAAGAACAAGTGGCGGTATGACAGTGGAGAAATACTCCGTTACAAAGTTAACTCCTACAAGAGTCTGTTTTCAAAATTAGAAGTAAAATGTACAAAAAAAATAAAATGTAAAGAACTACAGTGTTAAAGGGCAAGGCTATTCTGTGTTGTGGAAGGTATATAAGCATTAGCCTAGTACTTTTGCGAGATCCCATGTTGCTTTTGCGAGAAATGTTTTTAATTTAAGTCTGCTGGCTTCCTGGTCAGTACTGAGACCGATGGAAGACACACCTGTGGGAGAGGATTTTTATTTTGCGCTTGGCCTAAACTAAGAAAACATGAAATCCTTGCTGGGCAGCAGATACAGTTTTTTTTAATAAAAGTCAAAGACATCTGAAGAGAGTTCCTAGTGAAAGGGGACAAAGTAATCCCAAGGCCTACTCTGACCTGGCTGAATTCATTAACAACTAGCAGCAGTACCTGCGCAGGCATTATTTGGCATGCAGACTGGAGCAGTCAGGGATCAAACCACCAACCTTCTGATTAGTAAACAACCTGCACTACTGCCTGAGCTCTAGTACCCACATGTGCACATACTCGTGGAAACACGTGGAGTTGTGGAACAATTCAAACAAGCTTGAAAGTTGACCACCTTTATTCTTTAACACAGCCTGAATGCTTTTAGGCAAACTTTCTTTTCTTTCTTTCTTTTTCTTTAAGTAGGCTTCAGGAATAGTTCTCCAGGCTTCTTGGTGGACTTTCAAAGGTCTCCTTTGCATGTTGGCTGCCTTTTGTTCTGCTCTCTGTCAAGATGATCCCACACTGCTTCAGTAATGTCAAAGTTCAGTTTCTGTTGAGGGAAGTTGATTACTTATAATTCTCCATTGTGTATTTATATATCCAGCTTTTACATCAATGGCAGTATATTTTGGATAATTTTCATACTGACAAACGAAGCTATTGCCAATCAGAAACTTTCCAGATGACATTAAAAGGTGGATCAAACTCTGATTATACTTTTCTGTGTTCATATTTCCATAAATTTTGACAAGATTTCCAACACCCCTGGCCAAAATGCAGCCCTAAACCACAAAAGAGGACCCACAGCGTTTTACAAATGACTGTAGACACTCACTGCCATGCTTCTCTCCTGATCTTTAATTTGAACTGACAATAATTTGAACCAAAAATGTTAATTTTCGTCATTCATCATTTAGATCTGTTGTCACTGAATTTCACTCCAGTTCTTGTGTAGTTTGGCATATTTCAGCTTTTCTCTCTGTTTCCCTTCCTTCTTGACAGACGTCATTCAATTGAGACCATTTCTGATTAAACTTCAGTGACTAAAGGGCCAGACAAATCTCTCAGGTCTTGCAAAAATAGTGCAAAAATACTATGCATCAAACTGGGTTATCTTTTTGGTAGATTCGAATAAAACAAGGGGGAACAAATAGAACAGTTGACTGTTGACTGCTAGTAACGAAGCAGATAAAGATAAGATTAAAAACTGGTTCCTTGTTAAGCTGTGTTATGTTTAGACACAAAACACATTTCCTGAGTAAGGAGCTTAACAAACAAAACGACAGTCTTCTGAAAACCGTCAAGTACAAGCACTGAAAATGAGTGAAAAAGCAGCCAATGTCCAAAGAAAAACGTGAAAAGACTGGACAAATTTTGCACAAGACTAAAACTCCGCCTCATAAATAAATAAATAAATAAATAAATAAAGGGTTGGTTCAAAACTTTTGCACAGCACTGCATTTCTTCGTAAGTCGGAGCGACGGGAAACTAACTTTTGATCACTGTATCCATACATGCATGGGCATGTTTGTCCCGAATTAAACTCTAGTAGCAGTTCCACGTGTTTCTTTAATTCGATAGCTGCAAAAACAGGAATCTCGAGTGGCAGCTTGCCCACTCAGCACTTCCCACTTCAACCACACTCTGCCATCTATCATTCCGCGCGAAC